TGTTAACTACGTAAGTCAAATTCCAAGTCTGAACAATAATCGTCTTATAAAATTATTCCAAGTAATTTTGATGACCATTCACTATCGAATTTTTCAATGTCAGTTTAATGACAAGTAATATTTTTATGAAATTCATTTGCCCCACGGCAATTTTTTTTAAAAAACACCCACCCTTTTTTAAAATGTTTTTTCAACCCAAAATTGCAATATTTTTCATCCCGTTTCGTCCAATGAAATGGCTAGTTTTGAAGTTCGTTTTTAATTTGTTAGTTATGTTTTGTCGGATTGCTATAAAACATCAGTACTTGTCGACGAAGTACATTTTAATCATCATTATGGAGGACAGTAACGTGCCTAATACAAGCGCTGTTGTTTCTCACGTAACGGAAATAGAGGAAGTCTTTTTGACAACGTTGTTTCTCGTTGCGTTCCCATCGATTGAAGCGTTGAAGTCCGCTATCACAAATTATGAAAGATCAACTTACTGTCATTATGTAGTTCGAGATTCGCATTTGTGCAGAAATGAAAACTCGTATATTAAATTTGTGTGCTGGAGAAATGGCCGTATAACATCTAGCGGTTCGTCGCAGCTGATCAGACGGAGGAGGTAATTTTATTAATATTATTAAAATTTTTTGTCATGAAGGGCTTCCATGAACACTCAATGTCCGGCCTTCATGTATTGTAAGATTATCGACGGCTACCGGACTGTTGTACGTGGTAATGTGCACCACAATCACGAGTGCAATTCCCTGAGGTACCAAGGTAATTCATGGGTGCGCAGGTTAACGGAGGCCCAGCTTGAAAACGTGCGACCGTTGCTAATATCTGGCACTGCTTCATTCCACATTAAGAATTATGCTTACCATTCTTGTGGGAAACTACTGAATGATCAAGATATCTATAATATGCGGTACAAAGTGTTCTCATAGGCGAACATTCCTGGTAAGCCATTTGCCAATTTATAATGTAAACTGTCTGAGGAACAATGCAGTTCACTTTATAGCCAATTTTATCAAGAACTTCACGGTAGACTACCACCAACGCCGTTGAACTTACAGGCAGAACCGCAGTTGTACACTGGAACAAGAACCTCGACTAACTTTGCAATACCGTTGATGCACCGAGGAAATGTTGATTTGGATGAAACGTTAAGTAACGACGAGGATGACCTAGTTTATATAAACTTAGAAGAGTTAACAGAACGGGACATCCAAAATAAAGAAGATGAAGAGAACCGTTTGTGTGACATCTGTAATCTTGCACAGCCGCCCTGTGAAACTGGTGATGAAGTGGGTTTGGTTTTCTGTCCTTGTGAAGCAATGTTTCATAGATTCTGTGCTTATGACCCATCACCGAACGTACGAGCAGTCCGATGTGTGGCGCCATTACCAACTAATAGTTTGGACGTCCCACCGCGAGAACGATTAAAGGCCCTTTTCAGGGCCACCCACAAATTGATTTAAATTCATTTTTCCTAATATTGTTTTTGTCTATGGCAAAGGTCAAGTGATTAAGCATTTTTTAATGTCAAATGCATTTAGATATTAATAATCGATAAGCGATTATCGCTCATGTATTCGTAAACTTGTTTCTAACGTTTATTAGATATAAAGGTTAAGAAAACAGACAAGATTTTGTCATTTTATGAACACTTATCTAATAATTTTAGATGTAAAATAATGTGATTACCGTTCATGTCTTAGTAACATATTTGTAAACTATCTATTACTAGTACATTTTAATAGGAATATTTTAAAATAGTGAAAATCGTTATTTTGTCGTCAGGTGAATAAATTTATGATGACATTTATTAGTGAATATAACAAGATAGTTACAAAGATGAATGTGATTAAAGCTCATAGAGAAGTAAACAAAATTGAGAAAAATATCTTCCTTATGAATAAGATACTGACATTATAAAACAAGTTGAAGCCGTCATCATTGAAATCAGTAATCTGATTAAAAGGTCATATAGTAAGTGTTAAAAGAAATAAGAATATTATCCGTTTCATGAATACAAAATGCAAGAATTTCATATTCCAGTTTTATATTAATAGTACCTGAAACCAGAACTAAGCGTACGTATGAATTACGTCCGATCGTCAACTAAGCCTTCATTGTTATTCAGAACTACTGATTATATCAACGTATTCATTTGCACACCCATATAACTATTAATTACTGGTACAATCACACTATACAGTTATAAGTCCATAATTTCCATATTTTATAAAGGCCAAAAATATGTCATGGCATTAATGAATTTGACAATGTAATGTGTTAACAATGGTGAACGTTTACATCTGTTATATATATATATATATATATATATATATATATATATATATATATATATATATATATATATATATATATATATATATACTTACAAATTGTAACATTTGCAAATTAGAAAGGTCATTCAATAAAGGTCTGGATTATTTGCAGTAAAGTGTTCAGTCACAATAAGTGGAAGAGCATTATAGGAAAATTTAAAATGCAAAAAGTTTTGTGTCAATGAAATGCATAGTATCAGAATTGAATCTTGTCAATTGACATAATAATAATAATAGTAATAATAATAATAATAATAAGGAAAATAAATAAGAATAACATTTTAAATGATCATTGATACAGTTGACCTTATTCCTATTTATACATTTAATGCCGATAGATATTTGTTGAGTCAGTCAGACGACGTAGGCTTGTTCATTTACACTTCATGAAACTGATATTTCAAATGCTTGTCAAAAATGGTTACATTCATAATGTCTAGATAATTCAGGTTTCATATTACGGCGGTTAACAATATTCACACATGACTGATTAAACACACTAGTTTTTATTACGACAAAAAAATTAATTTTAAAATACAGAACTACAAATAATTTACAAGTCAACACAATAAACCCTTTCAATGGACTTTTAAAATTAACCACATTTAAATCTAACGTTGTCTAATTCTCATTAAGAATGAACATTTACAAAAAAAGTTCACTAAATATTAAGTGCCTATTTCGGTTAAATTTATTACTACATTCATATACTGTCAAAGTCAGTTCATTCAATGATGGTCTACGGTTGCTTCACCTGAATCATAAATATTGCAACTAGTAAGTTATCATGATGATTTATTAATATGTTGATTTGTTTCTCGAACTAACAGACCATGTGTTACCAAAAAACCTATGCATACACTTTAGTAATAATTCGTTTATTAATTTGGTATTACAGATTTGACTACCGACCGAATTCAGTAATCACTATTATCAAATATTCAAATCGATTTTCAGTTCCCTTTTTCACTCAACTTTCTTTTTATGTGATACATATAAGTACTCGTGACATTAAATCACTTGATCGGAAATCAAAAATTTATCTCACTATACACACTCACTAACAGTAGGATTGCATTTAAGTTGGTGTTTTTTTTCTTAAAATGTCTAAATTTCTTACAAGACTAAGATTACACAAAAAGATTGATTCATTATCGTTAAATTTCAAATGTAAAAATCAAAATTCTGACATCCAATCACAGCTCCAGATGCGATTTCAATTTCAACTAATCAGATTACAAAGATGAACAGTTTACGACCAATTACAAAATGATTAAAGGTGACAAAATGTTTGTTCATTATCACTTGAGCACACACTTGCAAACCAAATACACCAATCACCGATCGCTAAATTTTTCTTTAACACCATACATTTTTTTAAAAATGGGTGGTAGGGAGTCTTAATTGCCGTGGGCAAAATGTCAATTATATAGAAAATATATGTCTATAGGAGGAGAGAAAAAATTGCATCTCCCAAATGAATTCGAGGATAAATAACAAATGAGGTTATATACTAATCAAGGGGTAAGGAAGAAAATCGTTTATGGGTCAGATAATAGTCCAACTGACAAATATGAAGAAAAGCGAAAAACACAAAAGTCATAATAACAGACTGAATAATACTCAAGAAAACTTGTATTTGTCAATTGTACTATTATCTGACCCATAAATTATTTTCTTCCTTACTCCTTGATTAGTACGTAATCTCATTTGTTATTTAGTCTCGAATCAATTTATGATGCAATCTTTTCTATCCTCCTATAAACACTTGTTTTCCATATAACTATATATACGAATGTACAGCTCCAGTAAATGATTTCGTCGAAAAGAAAATTTTCTTCGCTGAATTCTCTTCTTATTCAATGACACTATGGGTTATTTTTTATTATTTATTTTGTATTTTAATTTGATTTTAACTCAGTAACCAATTATTAATGCATCCATTGTAATTTCAGGCATTTTTCTTATCAATGACCGGTAGACTGATGTTATGCGGCTGTTAGAGATGATGTACACAAGGCTAGGTTTAGTCTGTAACCTTATAGTTGATAGTTCGTTTCTGTAAATATTGATCATCACCATATGATTGGTTTATTAATTTACATTAAGACTGAAAATTGAACTTTAGGAAATCTGATACTGATACACAGTGTGCTACGCGCTAATCCCCAACTGACTACTTGAGTGAGAACGGGTATTGGACTGCCAAATAAATGTACAAATACTCATTTATATATATATATATATATATATATATATATATATATATATATATATATATATATATATATATATATCACTCTAGTTTTTAGGAAACTAAACCATTTCTTAACTGGTCCATCAAAATGCACCTGAAATTCACAATACAGTGTAGTTCTTTTAATTTTCGCTTTATTATAACATTTTTTGATATCATTATCCACTATCATTAATAGTTTATTTCAATGATATGAAGTATCTTGCTATCTATAGAGTTTGTTATAACTTTTCGTTTGAATGCTTATTATCTTGGCTCTTTTAATGCTACTTTTTGTATCTGGTCATCGCTGATTCTTATGTCAGAAACGCTTATCACTTATACTCGGAACGAGGGACCTCTGCAATTCCCACAACGCGAAAGTAAGAACACAAAGACTGGTTTAAGTGATGATTTATTAGCCCCAAAACACGACGACAACGATGATCAAAACAGTCTAAAATACACTGGTTTATATATTGATTTTACACCCATTTTCGATTAATAATTAGGATGAAATCACATATATGAAAAATACTTAGAGTTATAACAATTGACATACTGAGCATAGTTTATGTCAATGGAATACATGAATATCGTATATTATACAGAATAAAATATCATACGAGAAAAAGAAGACCAAATACTACATTGAGTAATCATTACATTGAATCAAAACGGAAGTAATCTTGAACAATAACTCATAATGAGTAAATCACTCGAAAATGGACTTTTCTTTCCATCATATCAGAATTATAAATTAATACAATATTTCGAAAGAACAAATAATACAGTTTGTTATTTGTAGACTATTCAATGATCAGTTAATATATGAACAAAATGAATCCAACAACACACATCTTTCATAAATTTATTTTTTTAATACACGAACCAATTATCGATGATTACTGAATAATTTTCACATTTCTGATTGTGATGGTGATGAAGATAGCTCTAGTTACTATGTCACTCAATTAGTTTATAAAATGTGTGGAAAGTTAGTTTTGAATGGATAATATTTAGTGCTTCAATTACGATAATATTTAGTGATTATTCACTCATAACTCCGCCTGGATACCCTCTGGGGCTACTGCCAGTCTCAAACTCGGATAACGGAATATGGTTGGGTATGGGTTAGCGACCTCATCCCGTAGAAAACTAACTCAATAAAAAATGCTAACCAGAAATAATTCAAACTATTTGAAGCACTAATTATTTGCTAATAACCCATTTTAATAGAGCATTTATTATTTTAGTTAATAAGAGAGTAAACTCTCAATGAGGTAATGTTCAAGATCACATGTGACGGTAAGGCTATGTAAGCATTGTTCCATTTTCCTAACAACTGGTTCGAAAGTACTTCATAAACGGCAAGTAAACTATTACAATGTCATTTATTCAACCTTATCTTCATCTGTTATACTATTGGAAAAAATAAGATAATTTTGAATATGATTGATTAATAACTAAACTTCCGATAGTATCGATATGTTGTTCTTGATGCTTAAAGTAATTATAAAAGGCCCTAAAAACATGGACTCTGGAAATTCAAATCGTGATCACATTGTTTTAATCCCGCTTGATTAGGGGCATAAGTGAATATCTCAAAATTTGATCTTGGGTGATGTGAATAGAATTGCTTTGTCAAATATCAGATACATCAACTCTACTTAAGTTTTTGAAAAACCAGTACATCTTGTAAAAAAAATTATCACTTAAGGAATAAAAAATTAATATGAATATTCCGTAAATAACTTCAACTGTATACATAAGCTTTTACTTCTTTATACCTGTGACCTCTCACAAAAATCTCAAACCTACTCTGTCCTAGGCTCTCCTTTTCAGTTGCTTTCGAGTGATATCCACTCTTTTGATTTCTGGCTCAACATGTTCTTTGGTCAACAACTTTTTCTTTTACCTTCGAAATTTCAAGTTAGAGCTCAATTTGTGATGCGGATATATATAGACTTGCAGTGTCTCCTATGCACCCCCAGCGTCTTTCTCTAAATTTCTCCTTAACTGGAATCTAGTTTTTTCTATGCCATTGTTGATTTTGCTAATGGTGTCTGGCCTACAGATCTGAAGGATCTTGCGTAAACTGTATATGAATACCTGTATCCGTCTGATGATGACGGTAGTAGTTCTCTAAGTTCTAGTTCAATACGATAGGAATGTCTTGGTGTTTTTATTGGAAATTCTAACTTCGGTGTTGGCTGACATTTGTTTCGAGTTCCATATATCCTTAAATTGTAGGAAATACTCCTGCTTTTCTCATCCCTGCCTTTTGTCCCATGTTCCTAATGACATCAACTAGATGATGGTTATTTTTTTTGATACTTTTCAATAAAGAAAATTCGTTGACGAGTTAATTATACTTTGTAGACTTATCGCAACTTGCTGCTCATTTTACATAGCGCCTGAAGTAATAAATTCGATGAATATTTAGCTTGCACTGTGGAGAAATTTAAACCCCAAATAACCCATTAAACGCGAATTAGTTCGATATTGCTAGTCTTTTCAAGCAAATATATTGAAGAAGACTCAACCTGTCTATCCATAGTTAGTAGCTGAAAAATGGTTTCCGGTTTTTCAGTCAATAGTTATCTAGGATTCAGAAATAGAAAAACTTTAGAAAGCTTGCGGATATTTCACTTCCAACCAAAATGCGTTAATTAAAGAAACTTAAAATTACACAAAATATGGCCCGTTCTTTATTTATGTCGAAGCAGTTTTATGGAAGTATCTTAAAGTGGAGAAAAAGCACAACAGTTATCGACCTACATTAATCGAAATGCCTATGTGATAGTTCATAATAAGTGAAGTGCTGAAAACCAGTGTTTATTATTTATCTTTTACTACATCAACTACACACAGATATTGAGCTTTTTCCTAGTAAACTGCTTGTACGTTGGTTCCCTGTTCGAAAACAATCCGCTTGGCTCAAATTATTCAAAAATATAACATACTCATGCTAAGATAGCAACGCTTTATATTTTTTTAAAGAAATCATTTGGAAATCTAACCTTACAAAACTTACGCGTTGAGATTATCCCATAAGAAAATTTATGCTTGGGAATTTCATTTCTCGAATGTGTTGTTCAGTTTATCTGCTTTGATACTTCTGTAATGTGTTCGTATTTGAGAAGACCTTATATTAATCAAAATACTTTTGACTTATTTCCAAGCTTTCAAAGCATATTACTTGGGCAAAATATTTGAGCAGTTGTAGAATGACAAGCATTTCGTTCATCAGTCTACTGCCTTTTTTATTGCGGCCGACAACAAGAATTAGATCATTTTATTCCTGAACTAGTTTTTCATTTTTTAAGGAATTTGTTCTAGGCCTACTCGCCTCATCTTATGAATCTATCAAAATAAATAAATATAGAAGTTATAACATTCGAAGATTCCATTACTTCTTAAAGTAAACGTAACCAGCTGATAGCCTAAACCATTTTGAAAACATGCAGCTTCCCGAGTAATGTCCTCAGTATGCTTACAGTGACTGGAGATTTAGGGTGATATTTCTTGAAACATCAAATAATTTTTCTCAGTGTTCAAGTGTTTATTTCAGTGTTTTTCACGCTCTGATACATTGGAATGCATCACGGATCTAATCAGTGAATTCTCGTACAGAATTATATCGTTTTATTTCCATGTGATACATCAGCAGTTAAAACAATTAAGTTGATTTTATCATATTTAAAGACAGCCAATCTTATGCAAGTAAATCTCACTACAGTCCAAACACCAGTGTAATCCATTCCAACTTTGAAGCAACACGAAGTTAGTGGGTTGTGATATCGTACGCTTATGAAAAGTAAACTGACAGTTCATCTGTGATGCCTTAACAGATGTCTTGTGTTGTATCGAAAGGGGCATAGGTACTGTGGTGTATGCTACTGATGTCAACACATATAAGTAGCATGTGTATATGAAATCCCTAGTGGCAGAAGGTTAAGATCGAAAAGAATAGAACGAGAACATAGAGTGATTGGTGTGGATACGAATGAACGATCAAGTTTGAGACAATTGATTGACAATTTATTGTATGGTTTCACAACCGATTCTGTGATGTTTTACCCAAACACATTTGATTGTCCCCCATTGCTCTCGTTTGCTACAGTACTTGCAGAGACATGAGTACCTCTACACAGAAGCTCAACAGAATGAGAAATATGGTCTTATCCCGGATTCTATTAATAACTGATACAAGTAATAAACTCTATAAGTATATTTTTACATCAAGCTTTTGACATTTACTTACTGTGATGAAAAAATAGTTATCTTTGTAAAGTTTGTTTTGATAATTGTAAATAGTAGATTATTTAACAAAAAGTTGGATTCCTAATATGGTTAATAATTCTCTTATTTAAAAAAATACTTCCCAGACTTATTTATCGAATAAAAGTTGATTGTTTTGTACTTTCACGGTTATTTTAAAGAAGCGTTTGTTAGTCAAATGTGAAATCTTCGTTCCCAATCGATGTGTCTGATAATCGATTTCTGCCATCGTCAAAGAAAGTCTATAAAATTTTTAAAAAATTACTGAAATGCATAAAATATGCATCATTTCCCATAGATAATAAATAACCTAATTAAGGCTATTTGTTGGAAAACTTGTAGTGACCGACCCTATGTCAAGCCCACATAGGTTTTTCTAGCTTCTGGAAAGACCAATTTATTTATTCTTCTCAAGCCATATTACGACCTTGTCAACTATTCGCTGATTAATTCAGACTGTTTTTATGTGGTCGAATGTGTGTTAATTGCTTGCTCTATTCATTACGTGTCTAATTTATTTTTGTCTGAATATAAATATTGAGTCACGCGTTATCAAATGGAATCGGTTCACTCGCCTTCTTCAATGCATATCGTTTAGTTTCGCTTCCCCTCTCTGGTTGTCTGTTCAGATCGCCGATTGTATGAAATATGCGCACTCAAGCTTCATTCTCGTATTTGACTTTAATTCCGTAATTCGCCAACACGATTTATGTCGATGATTATATACGGAGGTAGCCGGGATGTATATTTCGATCACAATCAGAAAAGATTTAATCAGAGTCAGATACAGGGTCACTAAAGTGGTTAGCCCGTCGATAACTTCATCGCCCGACTTAATTGGCCACATTAAAGTACTGAGCCTTACTACGAACCTAACGCAACCTCCAAGACTTCGTAGATGATGAAGATTTCGAACTCTACACATCCGATAAATGAACCAAGTGCTTGACTTAATCGAAGAGCAACTCAAGCGACTCAATCTCTAACCCGACGCATTCAGCGAAGTCGGTACAGAAGCGAAATGGATATGCTCAAATCGTATTATCTTATCAATACTTTGTTCCTGTGTCAACTCTGCTCACTGATCTATTTGACGGATTGTTCGACTGGGATTATAATTATTATCATATTCTCATTATCACATTAATGACATATCATCACTTAACATGGAGTAATAATAGCTGTTCGTGTTCACCTTAAATCAAAAGGTCACTAAATAACTGTAACAACCACAAAAATGCCAAAAGCACTATTCGCTGCATTTCACCTGGTATCTTGTCCGCTTTTCTCAATTTATTCTTCCTTAAAGCCATGGAGAAAGAGTATAAGAAAACAGATTTAAATGTCTATCGTTACCTGTAGTCCGAATGTGATTAATTATAAAAGGTATTATCATTAAAAAGAGTTTATGTGTAAACTTAACTAAATAGCATTATAACATTCAAGGGAAGAATTTGGGTTTCCGTAATCTATAATCCCAAGGGACCCCGGTTCTTTGATGATATGGTTCATAAATATCATTTGGATAATATTTTGGTGTTCGCCATTGTCTATTTAGCAAATTATTTATTAAAAAAGTTGTTGCACGATTGGTCAAAATGTGCTCGGAACGTCGATCTAATTCAGATTCACTTCGTCTGTGTAACAATGTAAAAGGAAAAATAAATAAAAACTGAAGTTTGTTGAAATTGTAAAACCGGTAAAAAAAAAGCAAAGAATAGTCGACAATCAAATGTAACTCATACGTACACAAACTTTGTTACAAGAACCACTGGAAAATAAAGAGCACAAACAAAGTGTTAAGTATCCAATTTCCGAGGTGTAGTTTCAAGGTAATGTGTTCACTGCAAGACACGAACGCAGATCAAACTTCAGTACAATTCATGCAAATAAAACTGCACACATACATTGTTGAAAAATAATTATTTTCGTTCATCTTGCAGTTTACCACAATCATTGGTTTACATCACAAAACTACACAGATTTTCATTTTAAAAAATAATCACTAAATGTTCAAGTTAAGGTTTTATTTAGCTAAACGTAATCACTTGGAAACAATATCTACGAATATAAAACTTTAGATACTTGGTGCGAGAAAATGGTAACTATCAGCCCTAACCCTACAAATTCGCACAAACTATCACCTAGTATAAAACTTTCAATAAACTTGATTTGGTAAGTACAAATTAGTCTATTTTGCATTGAATAACTATTTATTACTCGGCTACATATCACAAAGTTGGAGAAAATTCGATTAAATACCTATACAATACTAATATCCATTCGTTATAACAAAATTATTCAATGACATTAATTTTGTGGATATTTTTCAAAATGAAATAATGTATAATAAAAGAAGTATATATGTATATATATATATATACATTACCTATATAAATGTTTAGCTCGACCAGTTCGTGCATGAATATATGCACCCCAACGAAGACGTTTAAATCTATCAATAGCATCTTGATTTGGAGGGTTATAGTCACCGGTTTCTGAATAAAATTTCTTCACCTCTTCACTTCTGCGATTTCGAGATGGTATCTGCAAAATACGCCACTGACTGTCGAAATGTAAAAGTATTTTATTTACAATTTTGGCATTTACATGAGAGATAGTACTAATCCAATGACTAGTGGAAATAATGAAATAATATCACATAAGCAGTATACACAAGACAAATTCATCAAGAGAACCTTAATTATTCACAAATGAACAATGACTCATCTACAAGTATATATTTTTAACTATAAATTAACTACGAGCAACCATATACAAATATGAAAAATGTATTGTTGGTGATCGATTATATATAAAGTTGTTTGCGAATTATCATATTGTTAATGGTACTATTTGTTCCACGGGCCAAATACAGTTAAAACAAACTAGACATTTATTTACACATCACTTACTGACAGTTACTACAAAAAAATGAATGAAAATGTCTACGTTTTACAAGAGAGGTTTCTAACCAGAACATCCCCGATGGAAATGGAAATAATCCACGTTAGTGCATTTAACATGATATTTATCACTGTAATATATTTGACGAATAGTCACAGCCTAACATTCACTACCATAACAATCCCTTGAAAAAATGAGCTTAAATTGATATTTTACCTAACGCTATGAAGTATCCACACTTATTCGACGGTAAAATCTTATCTGTCATATGAACAAGAATACAATATGTGAAAACACCTGGATATATTGAACATTATAGTAGTGTAGAAACAGAAATGTCAACCCTAAACCAGTGTAGCATATTTATTTGGTGAACATTCCAAGGTTATCAATAAAAATAATCTGATTTACTTAGGTAACTATACATAGTATTAAGTCATTCGTACGCGTGTCCTTTTTATTATCCTTCCCATATTCATGTATTGCTCACAGCACAACAGATCAATAACTATTATCTTATAAACGAGATTTCTGTTAATAATTTTGAAAAAACGATGAATGAGAAGTACATTTTATTTAGTGAAGAAAATAAACATACAAAACTGGACATTCGAAAAGTCAGATAATGAAGAAAACTACTGGTTGTTAGGAATTTTGAAGCAGAATATTACAGATCATGGGGTTGATTCTGATTTTTATGGAAATAAATTTCGATTTTCACAATTTACTACTACTAGTAGTAAAGTTAATTAAACAACACTTTTGACAACGAGAGCAAAATATTTACATTTGAATCTATATCAAAGTGGTGTATAAAAATACTTTCAGTCAAACTAAAAACGAGAAAAAACAAATCCAACAACTAGCTAAAAACAAATTTATTTCCAGGATTAGGTCTGTGAAGTTCATTTATATTATGAAATGATAACTATTACAAACGGGGTAGAAAAACCAGCACATTTTTGGCCTCCTGTACAGATTGCCTACAAATAACACACAGGATGAAGGAACCTAAAGACCCAAGTTCGATTTCTAGCGACGAAGTCGTAAATCGCCCTCGAAGGACTTTACATTAGGACAAAATGTTCGCACAACATCTATTAATTTTTTTCTTATTTGATAAACAAATACACGTTATAACACACAGGTATTGACAGTAACATAGACGCAATTAAAATGAAGTATACATTGCATATTTTAACGCTTGCATTATGCCAACTAAGATACTTTTATTTATCATCATTGGTTTTACGTTATTCGAATGATAATTTTATAGCACAAAAATTATATAAAAATTGACTGATATTCAAGAAGAAACAACCATATTCATAGAAGGGTAATAATGGAACATCAATAAACTAACTTGAAATTGAAAAGATTGTTGACGTTACTAACAGATCCTGTTGTAGAAACATGTCGTAATAAAGAATTAAATACTCCGTAGAAATTTTTTAAACATAATGTTGAATTTGACTGAATCATCATATCTAGATGTTTATACATTTTAACATGAAAAAAAATCGTTAAAAATTAGCGAATTTCCATCAAGAAAGAATGTAAATATTATTCAATTGAATTATAATGGATAATTATTGATGTTTATTATTAGTAAAAGAACTAACGAATGTATAAAAGGTAGTCTAACGAAGAAAATAAAACGTCAATAAATTCGAGAAAAGTATTAAAAAAAGAAAAAAAAAACTTAACATAGAAACTGAAAGAAGACAAACTGATTTGGGTTCAAATCTGTTAAATATTCAAGTTCATAGTACTGAGACAGAGTTCAAGAATCCCTAAAACCTATCTCACTACAAAGTTGTTCCAAACATGTTTTAGATATCAAATAGTAGTAGGTAATTCAAACATTTTCATGAATTGAAAACAATAAATACTCTTGATGATCTATGCTGTCCAAAGAAGGAGTGTACTGAACGAGAATGCAGATAGGGACAACCAATGTACTTAAATCCATCATTTATCATTCAAATTCTGTATGATTCTTCCAAGTCACAATTATTTCCGTTTCTTTTTTCTTCAAGTCGATCTTCATAGCCTTCTGCTTCCCGGTTTTCTACTTCCGATTGGTACCACATACTACTTTTGTCGACAGATATACACCACAGGAGGAATATAAAGATCCTATAAACTAGTTAATTAAACGATTATCAATGTCTAGTAAAATGTGAAATAAACTGAAACGCATATGAAGTTTAAAATCTAATCATCACTAAACATGATAAACAATAGACAAAACACAACTGCATTGTCTGTAACCAATCAACTTTCTTTTAAATCATTTATTATTTGTTATATACACTCAGCCGAAAAAAAGTAACAAACATTCAATAAGCAACAAAATAAGAAGGTGAAGGATTAAGTGCAAATAATTTCTATATTATAATTATTTATAAAAATTTACTAAAGTGCGTTTATAAAATCACTTTTTAAAAAAAAAAACAATCTGACATTATTATTCTCTTTACTGGTAATGTCAACAAAACTAAAACTGTCAAAACTACTGATATCAGATATTACCAATAAACTAATCGTTGTAATAAATAAAAAAAAAACCCACGAAATTGAAAATGGAGAGAAAAGTGTGAGAAAATGGTTCATTTAAAAATAACAACAATGTGTTTGATAATAATGAATAATAGAATAAAATAATATTGATATGTTATGTAATTGAATAAGACAAAGGAGGTACAATATAGTCTACATTAGACTTATGTATAAGCAACATTAAACATAAAAGTGTAAATGATAAAAAATAATGCTTTTCTTTGAAAAAGAATATTAAGTAAGTGACTGATATGAATTTTATATGAACTAGTTTTGATTATACACACTAGAAATACTTTTCAATATTAATCACAGACATTCTACGCTACATCATAATAAAGGATAGTTTTAATGATGAATAAAACTCGGCTAGGTATGTATTGATAAAGTAATAAATAGATACAAATGAAATAAAATAAAAGAGAACGTCAAAAGAAATAATATTATTAAATAAAGTAAACAGAAAAATTACTGGAAGACAATTTTAAGAGTAAATCATAGTGAAGTGGCCACAGATTATGAATACAGTAAGTGATTATAAATAAGAATTTAGTATGAATCATGATAAAGAATGCACAATAATAGAGGGGATCAAGGATATGTATTTCATTTGCACTGATTTGTTTAACATTCGACAAAAATGTTTCAATTATTTTGTACACATATTTTAAAAAAAACTATATATGTATCGTTGATCATCAATCAAATTCCTGGATAATTAGGCATCAGTGAAGGATCTAAAGCTCGATACTGATGATGCATATCACGAGCACTGTTATTTATATCGATCTGTCTAGCCACATCTTCCAAGTCATGACGAAATCTATAAAAGTAGAAATAAAACGATTGATAATGAGCGCAACTCTCGTTGACGCTGAAATTACACACAAATTTACAAGAATGTGGTTTCAAAGTGAATAATTTCACAAATGTGTGGCAAAAGTAAAAATTTGTATAGCATGAAATATTCCACTGATGATGAAATTTATTTGTCTTGTCAAACCAATTAAAGTAGAAATAATGAATAACTGAACAACTCGAGTGGAACAACCACCGACAAGAGAAATCCCTGTGACAACATTCGGAACCCAACACATAATTGAAGACAAAAGTAAACAAGTAATGAGATACTACGGCAATCTATGCATAACAACAATCAGTCGGTGTAAAGAAAAGAGGTTCAAGTACCTCAGCAGATTAATCTTTGAATTGGATCACCGTCATCGTTGCACTACTATCACTATACGATAGGACTAATGGTGAAGTTTAATGACTAGCAATTACTAAGTTAGCTACTAAACAGTACTAGATAGTTAATATTTCCTGTGCAAAAATTACTTTGAATTCTAATTGGTTACTTGAAACCAAGTTAACACAAGTAGTTGAATTATTTACACAGATTTCTTGTGCTTAATACAGGTTAAAATGATGAGCAATTTTTGAGGTCATAAATTTCACTTGATTTCTCAAGGATACGTCTGTATAGTAATAAATATACAAAAGAGCCACCATAAATTTTAATTTATATAAATAAATGATCGCGTGGATGTTAAGGTTTACAAACTAAAGAAATTAGCGTTTACAAAATATATTATAAATGCCAGCTTCTTTTGATTATGAAAAACCTATGTCAAGTATACCAAAACTAGGTGAATACATCGTTTGGCACATACAGACAAAAAAATTAAACAGAAATGCATGGAGGCATATGAACACTACTCTTTCCTACTCACTTAGTGACCTTACTCAGATAGACAAGAACGAAAAGGAAGATTATCAACGCTTAAGCTAGAACAAAACATTCTTTGACTGAATAATTTTAGTAAGAGGTGTAGAAGAGTGCTAGAGAAATTGAGTCTAGATCTATAGGTTGTGTCGGGACAATTTTCTCTATGTTAATGCATATGCATGTAGGTCCCCTACAACATAGTCTATTGGTAAGAGTACAGCAAGCATCTCAATTGTACGTAGTGTAAAATACATACAAATGGTATACATGTTGATTAGCATAGATAACTATACTAATCAATTATCAAACAACTTTATTATAGTGAGCAGATTTTGAAACTGTGAATTACTTACTAGTACAGCGAAATAAGCTACGTCAAGTTTTATCCCTAAAGAAATGGTTTACCTTTTGTTTGAACGATGTTTTTAACTGTTGCAGAACTTTTGTAATTAGAAATAATTATCCCGATAGGATGAACTTACAACAGTTTACTGGGTTCATGAATTAATTTTCGCAAATGTTTCTGCTAGCGGGACATAGATTGGATTAAAGTATGATCAATGCACGACTGCGTTGGTACACGCTGATTGGCTACTTCTTATCCGATCAGCGCCAGTAGATACTTGCAGGACACTCTAGAATCTTCTCATGTAAAAACTAAAAATCTACTAACGTTTTTCCTATTGTGCTTCTTACTTCCATCTAATCTGTTCAACCGTGTTCTGATTTGGGGACTTGTCGAGTGAATCGGTGTCCGAGAATACTAAGCAAAAGGAATAGCTGGGTTGTAATAAGAGAGAATAACAACAGTTTCCAACAAAAAAGCATAACAGCACCTCAAAATGATGACAAGAAGTGATATGAGGTCATCAGACACTATTTTCGATGTGAACAAGAGCTAGAGGCAATCATAGCAAATCATTAACTGAAGTTCTCTACTTTTACGCGAAGTGTTCGATAAACTCACAAAATTATGATTTCGAGACTGTACAAAAATGTTTACTTATAGTATTAGTTGTTCGAAAATTTCCAGTCAATAAGTAAGCATTAAAAGATCTGCAAACTTTTTAATCCTATCAATTGTGTAGTTATATTAATGAATTTATTTAGAAAAAAGAAACGGACTCAATAAATATGAGTGAAATCGAATCTATCACAAGCATCTAATTAAAATGATGGATTTCGTATCATATGACACAACTTACTGATCTAATAGAACAACTGCTTTCTTTTTAAATATGAAATCCGATTCAAATTGACCTAAAACAGATTGTTGAACTCGACTAGCCAATCTAGTGTAGAGAACAGTTTCTACTGTCATTTGACGATTGGGCAGTGAAGCCAATACACGATCAAGACCTTGTACATTTGAAAAGCTAAACACACTGCCATGTGCACCATTCAAAGTACCATCGGCTACATGAGAAAAATTTCAAAGAAAATAAGTAAGAGCAAAGCAAGTGAAACCAACTGTAAAATTCATAAACATCTTATATATTCAGATGACTGATTTAATATATTTCAAGTAGAACTATTTACAGGATTGGCATTGTCACCGATCTATATGATTTTATTAATAATACGACGAAATTAAAGCCTTTTAAAAAAAAAGAGCTCGTCAGAGGTTGAGGGTATACTCGATACAAAAGTAGTGAGAACCAATTTGTTGACTTATGAACGACTACATAAATAAGTTTCAGAAACACTTTTAATTTACGAAGGTATTGATACAGATGGCCAATGATTGTTGTCATAAACAGTAGTAGAACTTTAGTTAGAGGAATCTGGACTCCTCTACAAAATAATCTTCGAATTATAAATAATGACATCAGTTATTTGATTAATTCCAGAAATATTGGTACACTAAATGCAGAGGTTTTCAGTACCTCACACATAAAACTTTGTAGACATTAATTTGTCTTACGGTTAAAATTTGCATTTTTTTTAAATCGCCAAGTAAATTGATACAATTACAACGAATACTACTGATTATGGAGAAAATTATCCTTTTTCCAGTACCTTACATTTTAAGGAAACGTAGAAATATCAGAAGAGTGTACTTGACTTATGACTTCGAAGAAATAATCTAATTGATAAAACTACAATTTATTTGACTGAGTGTTTTGTTTAATCTGAAAGTAACTTTAATCATCGACTACATTCAACTAAAAAATCTCGACAATTATCCTCTCATTTTCTTCAGATAAACAATTTGTACAGATCAACTTACAAAATGTATTTCTATCTAAAGGAGGAGAACCAAATAAACTTAACGGATATTGTGCTGGAAAGCCATATTCATCAAACATTGGCAATCGAAGCGCTGAACCAGTAACAATAATACCAAGATAAAGAATTCCCATTAGAAATTTGGCCACTTCTTCAACCGTATTTAAACCAAATATTTCTTCTGTAACATTATCTTGTAGATAATCTTCTGGTCCAGAATTCGTACGAAGCTACATAGGATGGAAATGAATATGAAATTGAATTTATCAATTAATTATAAGTAGATAGGAAATAAAATAAGAGCTATTATTCATTATTTGTGTTCAGTGATTTATATCTGAATGTATATATAAGAGATTATATTTCACAACCTCTATCAGATACAAATTCATTGAAGTAATACATATTTGGGAAAAATTGAAATGGCCATTTGCATTAAGATTTTCTGATTGTTGATACTTATCAGCTACAGATGTCAGTCAGCTACATAACTAGTTATTACTTAAAATAAAAAGTTTTATCAGCAATTAAAACTTAGACGGACTAATGTTGAAGTGAGAACTCAGTTAGGGAAAACCAAGTTATTGTTTAATGCAAAATCACACAGAGATAAGTAAAATATGAAAGTCATGCACTAAGTACATCATTTGCATATCTTCTTTGTGTTATCTTTACCTACTCCACTATTCCTCTAATTGTTGTTATTTTGATAGCTCTCCAATTTCCTTTCTGCTCTCTTCAATTCAGCCAGTCAGTAACAACGTATAACTTCGTACGTACGCACATCAGTTCGAGTTGCCACAACACATTAGCACAGAGATGCAGTTATCGATTCAAATCCCATAGTAGTAGAGGTAGTAAGAGTATAAGCAGTAATCGGTAAGGCTAGGATTTGAAGATGTTATTCAAGGAGTATAATCCAGTGAAATAAATTTAGATAGAGAAAAAACGGGACATGAAGAATTCAGAATATTAGAATTTGGGAGAACACAAAGAGGAGATGCACTTGAGCCATTGTAAACGATTTTGAGCCATGTCATTCAGGGTCTCTAACCATCGGTTGCTATCGTCTCGCGGTCCCCAACCAGGTAGTCTACACCTAACAACATGACTCAGTCCACTTGTTAGTGACTTCATGGACCTGTGCCATGTTTTGGTCCGGCCGCCCATAGCTTTCTTCCAACCTACCCCTATACCACTGAACATCGCACGTCGAGGCAGTCGATGGTTGGGCATACGTAACACGAGTCCCAGCCATCTCAACTGATGAAGCTTCACTACGTCATCAATTGATTTGCCATCCTTACCTAGTACCCGTTTCCTAACAACTGCATTACTTACTCGATAGTCCCAGGATATACGAGCAATATTTCGAAGACACCTATGATCAAATACTAGTAACCTACGGATATCATCTACTCTTACCGGCCATGTTTCACTACCATAAAGTAGGACGGAACGAACTGCTGCTCAGTAAACCCGTCCTTTGGTTGATAGACGGATATCTCGCCTACGCCATAAATGACGCAAGTTGGCAAAAGCTAGTCGAGCGTCTAAACATGTGTCTGTGTTCTAGAACCTGACGTAGTGTGAATATCTGGTCTATACAACCACGTCCAGGTCGAAAACCAGCCTGATTTTCTCTAGTCTGTTCTTCACGAGCTTTAGTTAGGCGTCGAAGTATTATTGAAGCTAATATTTTAGATACTATATTTGTCAAACTGATTCCTCTGTGATTGTCACAAGAGGACTTTTGTCCTTTCTTATAGACTGGCATAAACAGTGATTGAGACCAGTCAGATGGGATTACGTCCAGTTCCCAAATTCTACCTAAAACCTCAGTCAATCTCACTGCTAATACTGAACCACCATCTCAGGAGGGAACCTGTCAGGGCCTGCTACACTCCCTTGCTTCACATTTCCTATGGCTTTCTCAACTTCGTAAAGGGACGGAGGACCTACATTTACTTGCCATTCAGGTTGACTGGAGATCGTCGGAAACCGAAGTGTGGCTGAAGGCCAGTTGAACTGATCCCTGAAGTGTTCTGCTCATCGATCCAATCTCCTGAATTGAGAATGAATAATATGTCCATCTTTCTCTGAGAGTGTTTCGCTAAGAGTTAAGTTCCTAATACCGGTTTCCTTAACAAGTCTGAACAGTTGTCTGCTATTACCTATTGCCGCTGCCTTTTCCATCTCTCTTGCTTTCGCTACCCACCACTGTTCACGATCATTGCGTAGACTTCGTATCAGCTTGCGCTTAAGCTGACTCCGCTTTTCATTATGTTCAGAGCCAGGTGGAATGAGTTTCCGAGCATCTATCAGTGCGATAGATGCTGTTGAGATCCAGTGTTGCTCCCTAACCTTACGGGTTACCTTACTGGCAGATATCACTGCTGTTTCCACAGCTTTTCGGATATCATTCCATGCTGCATCGGGGTGGGCATCACATACATGGCTGCCTAACTGTGTTCCTAGTTGTTCCTGAAATATACTCTTTGCTTGACTATCATTACGTAGGCCCCTAAGAGGTTTACTTGCAGCGTCTTTCTTAAGTCCAGTAAGACGCAGGCAAATACGCGCTCGTACTAGAGCATGATCTGAATCTAAGCATGTGCTCCAGAATGAGCGACAGTCATGTATCGAGCCCCTCCATAGGTGGCTGATAGCGATGTGATCTATTTGGGTCAAACGTTGAGACGAATTAGGGGGTCGCCATGTTAAAAGATGTTTTTCCTTATGCTTAAAGTTAGTATTTGCAAGGAACAGGCGGTTATCTGAGCATAGCTGCAACAGACGGTCACCATTATCTGTTCTTTGAGCCACAATGCTATAAGATCTACACAGGTGTCTTCCCCTATCGCTTAGATTACCTACTTGAGCATTAAAGTCACCGGCCATTATTACTACATCAGAGCGCCTAGCTCTTCGGAGAAGGTCGGAGGGCTTTCTGTAAAACTCATCTTTTACATCATCTGAGCTGCAGTCTGTGGGAGAATAGGCAGAGACGACGAAGAGGCAACGACGAGTGTCCCTATCTTTTCGGATCCTTACCGTTCCGTTTAGTCGGACAGCGCACAAACGACTGTCTACTGGGATCCACTCTAAGATAGCTAGTTCTGCCCTAGGACTCAATGCTATACCTACGCCGGCGAGGCCACGGGAAGCAGAATCTGGGCTTCCAGATACACGAAGCGTAAATCGAGTCGGTTCTTTATTTTGGCATGGTGAGGTCAAGTGAGTGACGCTACTTGGATCCTGTATGCGCGTTTCGGAGACGCAGCACACATCGATGGCGCGGGATTCTAAAGTCTTAGCTAAGGAAGCCTGCTGTCCTATTTGGCACAGTGTTCGGACGTTAAGAGCTCCTACGTGTAGATTGGAGCGTGGTTTCAAGAGACCAGGAATAGCGTTCCGCGTACTCGAGTCGTTTGCCCTAGCAGTGTGAGGTGATAAAGAGACGTGAGGAGGGTTAGTCATGGAGATAAGAGAGGTATTAGGAGGTGTAGGAAGGATTTGAATGTGACCAACTTGGTCTCGTGTGCTGTTACGGGTATGAGGGCTGATATCACTTCCCGGCTGCCCACACCGTGGAAGGGTATTTCTTGAGGAACTTGATAAATAAGTCGGATTATTGTTGGTCTTAACGACCTGTGAGCGTGACCGCAGAGCCCAAGAGACAACTGCTTGAGGCCGGTCGCGCACGGCCTTTTCGTGGAAGGTTTTTAATGTCTTAGCTCCGTTCTTCAAAAAGCCTTACCGCCGGAGACGGAAATCCGTGAGGTAAGGTGAGGTGTGACATTTTTAGGGTCGACCTTTTCTAACACCACCCCTCCTTGTGGGAAGGCAGCATCTCTGTCATGCTGGTTGTCTGAAGGAAATACCTTATTGCTGTCACACCTCTGTACAGTTAGCAGTACGACTTCGCACCTTGGGTTTGTTGCTTTTAGTCTTACCGCTCTTCAACCGACCTGTCTGACATGGTAGTACCGTGAGGAGCGGTTGTTTCAGCCAGTATAGCTCGGTTGCTTTATCACGATAGGCAAGCCTGACCACCGCGTCAAGGTAGCAACTTCAATCTTCTGCTGTCAGGCATTCCACTTCCGATCACGGCTACGTACTGCTTTTATCTGTCAGCATAAGTAGCATACACAACAGTGTTATTGCTTAGCAACAACTGGAAAGGAGAGCTTATGACAGAGTATGTTAAAGGTTCCCAGTCAGCGATCTATGCCACACGAGTGGTAACAGGTGTAATGAGAAGCGTTATTCGAAAAACAGACCGAATAATAACCATGAATCAGAACTCATATAGTGATTTATAGTGGTTTATGTTGATTGGCTATTATAAATAAAAACATTTATATGTTTTATGAACCGCCAAAGAGTATGAAGTTAGCCAGACTATAAATAAGTACGAACACTCATTAGGAAACATAAAGCATAAACAAATGAAAAACAAGCTACACAACAGACGGGCATCAAGGTTAATCAATATTTTACTGGAAATACGAAAAACCGCTGGTTTTATTAAACGTACACTACACAGATGGATTAAAACTTTTACAACTGTATATGTGTATAAGAACTTTTTATATTACCGTAAGTACTTTACTTCGAGGCTTTCAAATGTCCAGGCATGGTCTAGGGTGAGGAGTCTACTCTCTTTCCCCGAATGCTCTTATATGACCACGCGTATATAACCACTGCCAGTGGAGTCCTACTCTCTACTTTCTCGTGGACGAGGGGTTGTTCACAAAGTTGAGAGGACGAAAAGCAAATGTCTGGCTCTTGAAACAGACTGGTCGGTAAAAAGAATCCACCTAATGGAGCTGGAAAACCCTGACCCCATACCACTAGTGTACATGGGTTCCACAATCCTGAGAAGATAAATGGCGTATGAACCTGATGTAGGTCACCGGTTAACATGGGACGTTGGTCAACCGCGTTGTGGATTGGACCTTCAGGTTAAAGACTCGGAGAGTGATTCCCTAATAAAACTAACTACTTCGGTTTGGGCATCCGAACCATATCACAGCTCACACATAAATTCAATGACCTATTTGTTTAAATCAATAAATAAAAGTTACTCCGAATAATGTTTATTCTTATTAGTCATTAAAACATAATATACAAAAAAGGGAAGAAAATAAAACATTAGGCCAATAAATCACTCACTTTTATCGTACTACCAGGGACACCGACTAGGCCTAAACCACCTTCTTCCATTGGACTAGCAATTTCATGTCGCCAAGACTGTAGTTCATTATCGTGTATGATTTGTTCAGTCCCACCAGCTGTGTGGATTAAGGGAAAATTTAAATTTATTTCACTACCCAAAATAATTAACCGAAGTTTTTACTTAACATATCGATAACCTAATGATAGTATAATTTTCACTAAAAAATAACTAGATCAGGCTAGGATAAACAACTTTTTTGGTTTATTGTCAATTTACACTATTGATTGCTTATGCTACGAGAAAAGATGGCACATTCCCCGTTGAATATGTTACATTAACACATTGGTAATCCTATGACCAGATTTTCCCGAGAGATCAACTGTAACTTTCGTCAAGTCTATTAGTGAAATAAACAATTGACTACAACAACTACTACTACCTTAACTGGTTCCAACCAATTTATGTTGGCTTCTCTAACTGATGTAAATCATTCAGACAAAACCGAACGATTCGATTAATCCTTAACAATCCACCGACAAATTTACCCTAGAAACTATAGTCACATTTGACAACTCAATGTACATATACATTGGGAAATGCTGCTAACAACCAATTCAATTTCATTCTATTTAACATCAAAGTTTTCAATAAACAACATTGTTCGTAGTAAATTCACTCCGAAGGATTGATCTTATAAATTAAAATTAGACGATCCCAACAGATTTGTTAGACTCAATAATTAAGTCAATAAAAGAAAATACCTTAAAAATGAAGCATTTTTAAAAGATATGTAAATAAACAAGGATAGGACACACATTGAGGAAAGCACCCAACTGCTTCACAAAGTAAGCCCTCACATGGAATCCTCAAGGCCAAAGGACAAATTACACCGAGAAATGGAGACAAACATGAGAAAAATGAACAAAAAGTGAATAGAACTGGAAAGGAAGGCGGAGGACAGAGTGGGTTGAAGAATGCTTATCAGCGGCCAATGGGAGTGACAGGCGTAAGTAAGTAAGTAATATAAATAAACAAATATATTAGTAAGCGCACTAAGAAAATGATTTCTTTTTTCAGACTAAACAACAATCTCAGAATAAATTCCAAGTTGGCATATTAAAAAGAATGTACTATCCGCTTCACAACACAAACTGATATGTTTAAGACGAGTGGTCAGTTCTCGACAAAGATGTTCCGTTTAGCCACGATCCTTTACTATAAACACTTCATTATTAATCATTTTTCATAAATATTATACAACTCATTAATAAATGAGACCTGAAATCATGTCAGGTAGAGTATCAATGTGTTAGTTATAAAAAATAAGCACCACACTGTAATTGTACAGGCATACAAATTTTTCTAGGAAGTTATTCAAGATATACTGGAAGTTAGTTTGTTCCTTGTACCATAATAACATTATAAACTAATTGTACCAAAGTGACAGTAATTCACTAGCACGAATAACTTATTGCTACTAGATTTATTTACGTTTCGGAAGAACAAGGAATTGTTCTCCTTTAGATAACCAGTAGATAAGTCTACACTCAAAGAGTTGATGTAGAATATTCATAATATAACTAAAGCCACTTCAGTTGTTCGTATTGAGTATATTGATCAAAAAGAATAAGTAAAATGAAACAAGTCGCACGGACCCTAACCAAGTAGTCTGCACCTACCGACATAATTCAGACTAGAAGTTAGTGACTTCAAGAACTGAATCTAATTTACTTACTAGATCCTCGAAACACGTCATAAACATAGAATTTTGAGCCTAAAATTATTGTAACTAATTCTGAGTTACAAATCAATCTATTAGGACTTCAGTTATTTGCCTTTAGAAATCAATTGAATCCAATATGCTACAGTGCATCACTAAGCTTCTTTAGCATGTAAAAGAACTTCGTCGCAGAAATAATGTCGCTCGGAACTCCAGTCCTCTAACTTGATGAGTTTAACATTCATTTATTGTGCTGCAGACAGAATGTTTTCAATTCCATTCAATGAATAAGACAAGTCATCGAGCAATCAGAAATCTCTAAGACTTAAAACTTCTAAATAAAGTGCTAACTTTTATAGTTTGATATATTTCTTTCATGATTATCAGTAATAGTACACTCGCACAAAAACAAGCCAGCCCTTTAATCCAAAATCATGACAAAATCTGATTGTCATGCCTTGCGAAAGCTGCGGAAACACGATAACATATCACCCCCAACGTTCTTTCAACTGTCTCCACCACTAGTCAGCATTGTGCGTCGTGGTAATCGATGTTCAGTCATACGTAACACGTGGCCCAACCATCTCAGTCGATTAAAATTTACAACCTCATCAACTGATTTACCACCATTCCCTAATACCATGTGTCTAACCTCACTATTACATACCCAGTGATCCCAGCAGATGCGAGCAATATTTCTAAGATATCTGTGATTAAATACTAGTAACTCACAAGTATCTTCTACTTTTAATGGCCACTTTTCTCAGTCGTAAATTAAAACAGAACGAACTGCCGCGCAGTATGCTTGTCCCTTAAATGATAGACGCATATCTCGCCTTCTCCACAAGTGACGTAAGTTGGAAAAAGCCAAACGAACTTTCTGAATCCATGTAGAGATTTGGTCAGACACCAACCCATTTGGGCTGGTCAGCTGAGCAACGTAATGACTCTGTTGGGAATAATGAAGGAATGAACCATGAAGATACGTTCTGTGTTTGATTTCATATATTTTAATTGAGCTATCCCCGTTCGGGCGACGGTGACAATAAAAATCCAAATACGAATTAAATTAGATGATTTTGTTTCAGACATTCACTCAGACAGATTGTAAGATAAGATGCGGAGATGAACTCTGAACTCCACTTTTTATCTTACAATCTGCCTGAGTGAGTGTCTGAAACAAAATCATCTAATTTAATTCGTATTTGGATTTTTATTGCCACCGTTGCCCGAACGGGGATAGCTCAATTAAAATATATGAAATCAAATACAGAACGTACCTTCATGGTTCATTCATCGTTCGCTCTTTCATCATTATTAATGGAGTCAATACGTTGTTACAGAACAATCAGATTTCAATATTGCGGTTACAATATAAAATAATGAACTGTCCACCTAATTCTACGTAGACATTTATAATCATCAGCATCTAGACTTTAGGTATAGGTCATACTATATAATGTGGACATGAACGATATTATAACAACGCAATACCTTTCTCACACATTGTTTTACGTCACAAAATCCACCGTATATGAAATTCTGAGTACGCAGATAGAAGAAAAGAACAACAAAAATACGAATAAAAAAATTGAAACTAAAAAACAGAAATAATACTTACGGTAAAATAGACGAACGTAGCTTGAGATAAACTGTTCCAATGCATGATATACAAGTATAGCATCTTCACGATATGGATAATTACCTAAACTATTTGGATCAAATACCTGAAAATATCAAAATAAAATGGCGAATGATAGATACAGTAGTTGGATTTATAAAACAAAACAGATAATTAATGACGCTATCCCTGTTTAATATTTACACTGAGTAATGTGAATAACATATGAGGCACAATACGAGATTCGTATTGAACTATCCCCCTGATAATACCATCAGTGATACCACATAAAACCTGACAGGTTAGACGTTTTACTTCAAAATAACATAGCTAGACGAAGTCGAATATCAGAATAAAGTATTACCGCATCTGAAATACGGAATAAGATAATACTATCAGTGGAATTTTAACAAAGAGATCATTCAATCACGATACCTATTAGTTAACAAACACTAAAGTATTTGAAAAACACTAAAATATAAAAGCTTACTTTAACACAAGGTATATTACAGTCCAGATAGTTGATATTATATATTCACTTAAAATAAAACAAAATCGAAAGACTTACTCCTCTTGACTCTAGTTCACGATAAATATTTGCATTTACATCAAAACGCCATTTTTTAAAAGCTCGTCTTAATAACTGTTTAATTCCTTTACGTGACAATTGAATATTACGAGATATCCATCCATTTTCAAATGTCCACTCTTTTAATTTCCTTCAATTTAACAAGTAAAATATTTATTATAAAAACTATGAGTTATAATTTAAGATTTATATGAAAGGAGTTCAATAAACCAAAACAGTAATATGGTATACATATTCATTATGAGCAACAAAATATGTGTAAACATACGACGTACACCTAGCTGACGTTTTTATCTAACCTAGACCTTAGAAAGCCATCAACATATTAGTTAACGGAAAAGAATAAGGATATTATACAATTAATCAGTAGAAACTTATGGAATCATGGAAATGTATAAGCTAAATGAGTCAACAATATGACCATATTCACAAAACTGTGGAAGTTATTATCGCGTTAGTAATAATAATAATAATAACAATAATAATAATATTGTTATTATTGCTATTATGAAACTAAATAAAATACTGTATTGTATTGAATAAATAGAGAAGATCGTTACGGGGAAATTTACAATTCACAATTTAATTATTCCAAATGTGAGTGCTATTTGAATTTCGCTGATGAAGAAATACAATGTCGCCATGAAATTACACGATATATTATATGAAGTAATGAATAAGCTGGAGAGGACTAATTTATTGTTTAACGCAAAATCACACAGAGATAAGTAAAATATGAAAGTCATGCACTAAGTACATCATTTGCATACTTCTTTGTGTTGTCTTTACCAACTCCACTATTCCTCTAATTCTGTTGTTATTTAGATGGCTCTCCGATTTCCTTTCTGTTCTCTTCAATTCAATCTTCTGCTGCCAGGCATTCCACTTCCGATTACGGCTACATACTACTTATATCTGTCAGCATAAATAGCATACACCACAATAACAATCTGTTTCTGATTTCAAATTATTGTTGTGTGTCCTACTACAGATGACAGTAATATCACAACTGAAATACAGTAGAATACGTGTTGCGATTCTTCTATGAGTAACATAATCTGCTTAAATGCAGAAAACCGCTATTCAAACTGAAACATAACCTCATTGAAATCATGAACAGATCTAAGTTAGATTAACATTGAAAACCTAGGAACACTGGATATAATTGTCTGTTTTCGCAAGAATTATTGTAGATTATATTAGTATGCAAGAATGAATTATACTTAGTACTCCAGCTTTCAACATGAACTCTATAAAAATAGAATTTACTTCGTTACAGGTAGGATACTGCGGAAATGTGGTGCAACCAAATGATATATTGGATGTGATTGTGATACATTACGTCGTAATGACACATAAATTGATTCCAATATTAAATGAGTTAACAATCGACCAACAATCATATGATGACAGGCATCAGCAAGATTAACCCATAATTTTGCTTGTAACCATATTGAAGTTGGATCAGTTGGAAGAATGATCTAAGATAAAAACATTATGTTTTGTTAATAGTACAAGTCATAACTTGAAAAAAAGCTGTTACTATTATTACTGAGGCATATGTAAATATATAAGATTTATACTCAAAGAGAACATAAAGTAAAGAATAATATCTAATTTTTTGATCATATTTCAAAGAAAACATTAACAGTAGTAAAATACAAACAAGTGCTCTACAGGTTCCATCAACTGAAAAAATACCATGTTTTTGGGATAGGTTGTTTTATTTTGCTTTGCCTAATAATAGGATTAAACTAACCCAGTTATATTAGACTGAAATGAGCTTCTATTATAGTTCCGTCAATAATATTACGATAGTACTCAATAAACCTATCACTTTATACACTTTAGCATCACCTGAAAACCTAGTGAGTTTTGAAAATCTAATAATATGGATTTTGTGGACACCTAGTAAATTTACTTAACCAAAGATATAGGCTTCCGGTGGATGAAATGATAAGTGATCGAACTCATTTGGTTAACTAATAATCGCAAGAATGCGAGAGCAATCAAATTTATCAATATGAGGACAATTTCGAGCATATTATATTTTGTTCATGTCAAAGATATTAAAAGGTTGAAGTTAAACTTAAATAAGATATAATCATCAGTCTCACATTGCCCCAGTGAGTTCAGTCTCAAATATTTAGTTGCACAACACTTTATTTCATCCATTCAATCGTAAATTCCTTCTGTTCATTACTGCTTCACTTTTTGCTTTCTATTCATTTTATTCTGTAAATTTATCTACCGCGTAGCTTTTGGTATCAATTTTCATTTTCTAAGAATTCATCGCCAAGTGTTTTTTTTATTTTTTCTCCTTGGATTTTCACAGGAATTATCCTGTGAATATTTTTGTCATTTTTTAATGTTTTTCTCGTCTTCATTAATATGATTAGAAGTATGTAAATTGGTTATAAATAATTATTATATTGTTTTCAGGTTATGAACAGTTGAAGAGAGTCTATGAAATAAATGAATTCATATAATTCAACTACATTCATCTTTTTTTTTGTTTCATTCCAGTGCAGTAGATTAAATTATTACAGAATGTCACCTTTCAACTTACTTTACTAATTCTACAGTACACTGTATTTCGAACGCAACACTACAGAAAAATATTAGTCAAAATTTATATCGGATCTCTAGAGTAGCATAATAGTAATATGAAATTTGCAAGTGAACAAAGATATTATTTGAATTTGCAAACAATAGTTACAAACGAATTATAATCGCTAAGTATAACACTATGGAACAGTGTTATGGAAGTGTGTTCCAAGGGTTTTTGAAACACACTCCGGGTTTTGAAACACGGTTGCTCCCGCCCAGAAGTATCGACTTATACTTTATAGCGATAACATAGATACAAAGTTTGTACTTGAAACTATGGGTAAATTTTTTGTAATGGTTAACTATTCGGTTGGGTACAGATATCTGGTATTGTGAATATCCATATATCTATATGGTTTTTTTACATTTATACAAATTTGGATGACTGGACAAAGGAAGCCATTTAAAACATTGGTATCGAGTAAGTCCGGAAACCACCTAAGATTATTTTAGTTATCATCAGAGGATAATCTTTTAATCTCTGAAGAATCATTTCAGTCTAAGAAATACTTTAATACTATTTCATGAAATCGTCAACATTTCATTGAAATCATGACCAGATCAATGTTAGACCATCAATTAAAATCTAGGAGTACTGGAAAATCGTCTTGTCTTAGTATGAGACTCCTCAGCAGTGAGCATTCATGATCCCGCACACACGACTTGAACCTATACCTTCGATCTCGCGCGAACACTTAACTTTTACATTCATCGGTTCACGATTTCAATGGGATCCAACAGTCTCCACAACCACATATTGAAAATTATAAAGATTTCTCCGAGTGATACAGTAGTACACCTCATGAAGTGACTGTAATTATGCGAATGATCAAGAAATTAGATATCGTTATTGCTAAATATGGTATGGTTGTTGAGATAACCGATCTGGAAGTTCAATAAATTATTCAACAATACACTTCTTTACCAAACTGGTATTTTTTTGGGGTGAACCCCACTCAAAAGACGGCTTGTAGGGAGTATATAGCTGAAAGTGATATCGAGACCATCAGTCGTCAGACGGAGGGAAGAGTTTCAGTACATCGAAAGCACAGAGTATACAGAACACTTGAAAGCCAGATGTGAAGACAGTTCGGATCGCAGAATACACCACAAGATGCAAAAGGATGATCGAAGTCTATGTATGTGTACTATATAAACACTTTAATTTCTTATAATAAACATTCTATCAGCCTAGTGCCCTATCCTAACTGTACGACAATCACTCAAAATAATAGATGTATACCAACCTCAAATTTTAATAACCTGTAAAATATTGGGAATTATAAATTTGAACTATAATGCTTACCCCACTTCCATCATTCGAATTACGATTCAATTGAATCGCAATTGGCTTTAACTGTCTCTTTTCAGTATAAAAAAAGATAGCTAATGGTGCACATAATTCTCGACCACGTTTACAACTAAGTCCTTGCATTATATGAAAATCAAGTAAGTACAAACGATTAGCTGATACCATTTGACGTAGTGTCCAACCTTCTAAATGAGGTTTCAGTGAATTTGCTACCATTTCAAAACTACAATTAATTTAAGCACAAAATTAAGTAACAAAAATATATAAATTAATCAATTTGAAGAGAGAAGGGATAATTGCCCTAATCGTTCTATTCCCTAATCATTTATTTATTCACACAATAAATTCATGTTTAAAACATTTGATTAAGTTATCATCACTCGATGGATACTTAAATTATATATATATACTGATAACTAAAATATATTTCTTTGATATGGTACTACTTATGACTAGCAGAAACCAATGAAGCAATGATGAATATAAGATTCTAAAAAATCTGGTTGCGAAATTGTTTGCAAAATACTCATCAGAAGTACCAACTGTTTGGATAATAGAATACATTCAGATGAATACTACATACAGACTTTTTCATCGTTTTTATAAGTTAAAATGGACTAATTTCCACGCATTAGAACAAGTAGTTAATGAAGCCTTAAATGATGACAACATTTTATGGATTGATGCTTTAATTTCTTTAAAACAAGTACAGGACGTCACAATTCAGAAGAAATGATCCACGGTGTTTTCAAAGAACTGTTTCAATTCGATTATTACATTAGTTCGATCATGATAAAATGTTGTTTTAAGAAAATGTCAGTCGATACAATTATGATGAAAAAACCGTGGAACAAGATTTAGATTAGTGATCGCTGTTGGAGCTGAGAGAGGAAATATAAAGGTGAAGCTTTGGAAACTTATTTTTTGGGAGCTAGTTTGTTATTTTATAAATACCTTTTAAACAATTGGTTAGTGATATTTTCATATTCTTCTAGTTGTAAAATTTCATTTGACTGACTGACCGTTGCGATCAGTCAGTCACAACACAGAACCTGGTACGTATCCACATCAGTTTGAATTGCCGTACTCCACTGGCACAGCAAGATGAAATTGCCAGGACAAATCCCACATCAGTAGAGGTAGTGACAGTATGAGTGGTGATGGAAACGATGAGACATAAAAGATAAGATTCAAGAAAAATTATGGATTCAAAAGCTTGGAAATTAGAGGAAGACAAAGAAGGGATACGCCTGGGCCACTGAAAACGATTTCGAGAAATGTAACTCGCAGACTCAAACCACTGGTTACGATAATCACGTGGACTCCAACCAGGTAGTCTACAATTACTAACATGGCTCAGTTCAAGTGTCAGTTACTTCACGAACTGGTGCCATATTTCGATTTGGTCGCCCCTGGCTTTCTTCCAGCCTAGTCCTACACCACTAAACATCACCTGACGAGGTAGGCTATCGTTGAGCATGCGATATCTCTTATCGTTTATAAATTGATGAATTAACTATGACACTAGTACTTAACCTTTTATCATGCATCACATGAAATGTACCAATTCAGATTCATTATTTGTGGCGCATTGTAGACTCGTATTTCATTTATATAATCACAAAATGTTCTGAGCTTGAATGATACAAAACATAAAAGATGATTGGGTAGTTTAGGAACGTATGAATTTAAGGTTAGTAATCAACCTTCAGCATACACAATATCTGCGTTAAAGGACTCAGGGTTATGTGGGTAGGCGAAATTCACAGCAAAGTAACAACAACGGGAGTAGGACAAACTCACAAGAATCAAATCCTTTCGAATACCATTTTTTTTCCATTTGATTACATAATGTATCAAACTAATTCATGTTTTTAGACGTACTAAGAAATAAAAAACTAGCGACAATGCAAACATCTACAGAAACTAAGGGCTGTTAGTAAATAAAGGAGGGCAACAATATATCCCCTTGACAGGGATCAAAATAATGAAGATGAATCTCTAACACTCATAATCTATATCCAAAAATAAAGCTTTATGATTATGACGTGGTGTTTCACTAATATTTGTTGATGAACACAAATATATTAGGAGTACTACCATCCATTGTTTCTAAGCAACTGTATTCGTCCGGTTATTTTAACATTTACAACGTTCGGATTTGTTGTGAACACTTATTTTCATTGCTCCCACTTTACTACACAATTATTAAAACAAACTAACCACACATACTACTAGTCGATATCAGTAGTTTTATATAAATCACACCGATCAACAACGTGAAAGAGTACAATAGACGTAAATTAGGTTGAAACAATAGTTTTGCTGACGCGGACGTAACGTCTTTCAAGAATGCATAACATAAAATGCAACCTGGAAATCAAGTGATCAGTCACAAGTTCTTTCACTCAAACTCTTCGTATGATATAAACGGGTTAGCCGAATTAGTTTGTACACAATTAATCTGAGGAATTTAACCAAAACTATTAATACTCAAATAAATGGTAGTAAACTGATGATTCGTAATAAAGAGTTAAGAAAAAAAATTACTCGCCTTTTTGGTAATGTACGACAGACTTGAATAGTGAATGGATTACATCCACGAATACGTTGTGCACCAAAGCAAATATCATTCATCATCCAAAATTGTAAACTCTGCGAAAAATCAGAATTTTATAAATCCGAAAACGATGAAATGAAACTGAGTACGTACTTAGTGAAATAGATAAAATAATTACACGACTTACAAACTACAAAATCCGACTCCGTGAATAACTGGGACAAACGTTTACTAATTCTCGCTGAGATTAATAATCTAACCTGCAATATATCTAACAAACAAGTATGCGACTTTATATCTAAACAAAGTTGAATAGTCTCAACCTAAACCAAAACGTCTTTTACACCGCTAAACACACACATTAATTAGCCATTTATTCGTAAACAACGTAACACCTGACACAAACGTGCCTCACCCCAGGTACCACATCATATCAGCGAGGTCATCCTAGTACAGCGATTGTAAAAAGAATACTGAGCATAGATAATAAGGTTCGAAAAAAGATGAATGTGAAGAAGCGTATGGAAAAACAATGAGACTGAAGCTCAGAAGAAAGATAAAGAATGGATGTATCTGTGTCACCGTAATAGATTTAGACTCTTGTCAACTAAGGTCTCCTACATTCAGGTACTCTGCACTTAACGACATAATTTAGACTAACAGTTAGCGGTTTCATGTCTTCATTTGGCGACCCCTAGCTTCCATTTAATCTGATCAAATTATCATTTATGTGCACGTAGAGATTGTGATGGAATGATATCTGTTGAAACAAGTTTTCTTTCTCTATAAAGTTTGTATTAAAATTGGTTACAAAATCAAACAAATATTCTTTTTGTCTTATTTGCAACTTCACTTTTATTCGACCCTTTAATTTCTGAATGAAAATTCACGAAAAATCTGAATCAATATTCTTGTGTAAAAACCATGAATTTATTATGTTTTGGTCAAATTTTAGAATTCACGCAATATTCGGTTAAATAAAATTTGCTCACCACAGGTTCAGTAATATTATATTTCTTATAGAAGTTTCCCAGTGTGTCGAGAGAATCCCAAGACTCTTCACTTGTGTATTCTTCAGCCAGACCAGTACGTTCAATAACTTCCAGAACTAAAGGCTCAATATCCCACTAGATATTTATTTTAAATAACCATGATTATCACTTACTCGAGAGTCTGATGAGAACAACTCCGAAGGTGGGATTTCTTGTAACTAATTGATAACAGATAAGACTAAATTATATACCAACTCACTTCGACTGGCAAACCCTTTGAGCGTTGGAATAAAGTAAAAAATTGCATACGTCTACTAACTTCCTCTTCTCTTAACTCTGGAAAGGGTTCCAATTGAGGAATCCAGGCCTCACAGTCATGAACAACATATTGGTGGTCTTGACTAATCCACTGATGTACAGGAAAGAAAAAATATTTCCATTCAGCAGTCATCCCAAATCTTCTATCCCTAATAATCACTCTATCTAAAAACCAAGCAGGTGGTGGATAAGACTGAGTAGTACACCAAAATTCGATATGGTGTAGTCGTTTAAACACCTACATTACAAAGTGATCAATATCGTGTAAATCATGATTTACTTTAAGTCGACTCCAGGCCTGTAAATCAATGGTGAATTTTGCTTGTGTATAGTCAATATCATTTTGAAATATATTATCCAAAGTAATTGTTGGTGACTGATTACCACAGTGATCAAACATGACCATGTTAACTCCAGGACCTAATTCATCGCCACTGTAGTCCCCTGTTACCACACACACTTCAAACGCTATTTTGGTGGATATTCCTCCCATGTTTATGCGCAATCTTCATAAAATTACAAGATATTTTTGACTGATCTGTAATCAAAATAAATAAATAACATGATCTCTCTGATTACACTGACCAAAACGTTATCAGTAATATCACCTATAAGAACATTGATAAACCGAGTTGATGTCTAAGTTAATACATGTTACAATAATATGGAACCATAAATTTGTTCCAAGTGCCTAAATAGTTGCACGAAGCAAACGAACAATGACTGTACAAGTGGATTTTGGCAAAATACCCCTGCAGTAAGGTAAATAACCACCGATAAGACGAAGGATATTTAAATCCAATCCTAAAGTTTACAACAGGATGATAACATGTTTAGTCGAATGTTCTGGAATAAACCCAAAGTCCATTTATGATTATTAGTCAAAATAAACGCAGATAAGCAGTGACGAAATATCAATGACTGAGATGAGCGGCAAATTTTTCCTTGAAAAAGGCCAGAAGTGCTTTATGAAGTCCTGTCAAATAAATCTGATGAGGCACATAACTATTCATATCATTGTCGTACGCGCCACTATTCGGAAACTAGATATTTCCCTGAATAGGGAAACATGATACTTAATGAGCATACGCATTCATCTGGTAAATCTTAATCAAAAATCTTACATTTTAGAATGAAAACCTCTATGATCCTTCATTTATAGTTTAGTTTCAGACACTAAAACAACTAAAAGCTGAGTATGTGTGAGAAGCTGGAGTTCAAGGATAATGATCGAAACATTTGTGTAAAACTTAGTCATTGGAGAGACGAAACTACCAAGCCCGTTGCAGATTAGGTTTACCTGATCGAACCTATTAAGTAAAAGTACACATGACAATTTGAAACAACGAACTACTTCACAATGTTAACTCTGACGATTCATAAATATGAGAAATCCTGTTTCTTGCAAACCCTTGAGAACCTCGTTATTCTATGCATTATCATATGTAACATGCCAAAAGTGAAAATTATTTGAATCTATCCTTTTAAACTAGTCGTCGCAACCACCACGAAATACCGTTTTAGTCGTGGTCATTAAGGTAACACTAACATCAAAATAAAGGTTATTAGCAAAATTATATCCGGTGCAGTGGTTTATTTATTTATTTATTTGAACACATAAATATTGGTACAAGAGAGCGCCAATATATATGCGCCACACAAAACAATGGGAATTCGAAGAGAAAAAAAAAACAACTAAGGAACGCAAAAGAAAAAGAGAGTAATGACGAAGAGGTACAATCAGAAGAAATCTTTCAGGTAAAGGAGACACAACCACTTTTTATGAAGAAAGTAAAAGAAGGTTACAGCAGGATCGCCACTGGCTTCTATTCTGAGCCATATCTGATAACGTCTCTAGCCACTGTGTAGCACCATCTCTCGGACCCCAGCCAGGGAGTCGTGAAGGACCAACACAAGCCAGTCCTTTGCAGCTTTCTTTCATGCCACGACACCATGTCATACACTGACCACCTCTCCGCTTCTTCCAACCAGTCCCAGAGTCGGCAAATAATGCACGACGTGGAATTCTCTGGGACGACATTCGGAGAACATGTCCAAGCCACCGAAGTCGGTGTTTCAAGATGGTGACACCAATTGAGTTATCATCTCTGTGCCCGAACACACGATGCCGAACCTCTGCATTACTGACATGGTGTTGCCACTGAATGTCAGCAATCCTTCGGAGACAGCGATGATCGAACACAGAGAGTCGTCTAACGTCCTCAACTCGGAGAGGCCAGGTTTCACAAGCATAGAGCAAAACTGCTCTCACCGACGCGTTGTAGATCCGGCCTTTTACAGCCAGACTAACATCACGAAGGCGCCAAAGGTGGCCCAGATTGGCATAAGCCGCTCTGGCTTTCACTATTCGTGCATTGATCTCATCACTCACACCCCCACCAGCACTTATGCAGCTACCCAGATACACGAACTTCTCAACTACGTCTATCTGCTCACCATCCAGGGTGAGTACAGGATTAGAATCCTGCCAGTCTTGTAGAAGTACTTTGCACTTCGAAGGTGCAAAGCACATACCATACCTACGGACACTGATTGCCAACTGATTAAGTGCGGATTGCATGCCTTGGGCATTATCGCACAGTAAGACAATATCGTCCGCATACTCAAGGTCGAGAAGTCTTTCTCCAGGCAACAGATCCACACCACCATTACTTACATTCATCAGAGCTGTTTCCAGAATGTCATCGATGGCAAAGTTGAAGAGGAATGGTGAGATTGGGCAACCCTGCCTAACCCCACTGCTCGAATGGAACAATGGAGAGAGGTGGTTGTATGCCCTCACTCTGCCTGAGGTGTTTTTATATAGGGCTTTTAGGATGTTAATAAACTTCTCAGGCACACCCTTCTTCAATAGACAATCCCAGAGAACAGTCCTATCCAACGAATCGAAGGCAGCCCTGATGTCAAGAAACACTACGATTGTTGGCCTTTGAAAAGTATGGCGGTGTTCTAACATTTGGCGGAGGGTGAAGATATGATCAATACATCCTCGACCAGAACGAAACCCAGCCTGCTCCTCGCGAGTCAATCTTTCTCGGGTTTTGAACAACCTACGAAGAATGACGGAAGCCAATAGCTTGGACGCAATCGGAAGTAAACTTATCCCCCGATAGTTGTTACAAGAACGACGTGAACCCTTTTTAAAGATAGGGACAACTATCGACTCATTCCATGACGTTGGTACACTCTCTAGTTCCCAAACCTTTGTAAACAACGTCGTCAATTCCTTAGTCAAAAAGTCACCACCATCTTTAAAAAGAGCCGGAGGTAAGTCATCTGGGCCAGGTGATTTGTAACGCTTCAAGAGTTGGAGTTCCTTGCGGACTTCCTCCTCATTTGGTGGATCAGTCGTCACCGGCCATGGAGGGCAGGACAGTCTGACCGATGTTGCCGGAGCAGCAGGCCAGTTGAACTGCCCTTCGAAAAATTCTGCCCATCGTCCAAGACGTCGATGGATGTTAGTGATTGGCATCCCATCATCCTCGCAGATTGTTTCACTCACACCAGACTTCTTGCTGCCAGTGGCTCGGATGAGCTGGAAGAGCTTCCGGCAGTTACCAGATGCAGCTGCTGCTTCCAGCTCATTAGCACGCATCGACCACCAGGCTTCTCGGTCCTTACGCAAGCTTTGCCCGATTTCCTTACGTAAAATCCTTCGTTTATGGTCAAACTCACGGTTACCCGGAGTAGACCGACGGGCTTCAATGAGTTGTAAGGAACCAGAAGAAACCCAGTGCTTAAAAGCGGGACGTTTCGCAAACCCACAACTGACTGTTCCCGCCATTTTCATGGCGTCATGCAATTGCAACCAATGCTCATCTATACTTTTCGGTGGAGTGGTAGCTAGCCTAGAGGCTAGCTCGGTTCGATACTTACTTGCAACAGAAGTTGCAACCAGCTTGCTAACATCAATCCGTTGATGGCGTTCACTTCGTTGTCCACTGAAAAGTAAGGCAAGATTGGCGCAGACCAAGGCATGGTCAGAGTCCAGATAGGTACTCCAAAAGGAGCGGCAGTCTTGTACACAACCACGCCAGCGGTAGCTGATCGCGATGTGATCAATCTGAGTCCAGGCTTGAGATGCAGAGGGAGGACGCCAGGTGGCACATCGGCGATGACTGTGCCGAAAGTTAGTGCTAGCCAGAAACAGGTTGTGGTCTGCGCAAAGTTGCAGTAGACGGTCCCCGTTATCTGACCTGCGACCAACGAGTCCCCATCGGCCACCTAAACGACTCTCTTCTGTGCCTAGACGCCCGACCTGAGCATTCAAGTCTCCGGCTAGTACTACAATATCTGTCGAACGCACTTTCTGGAGAAGAACTGATAACTGGTGGTAAAACTCATCCTTGATTGCATCCGGGCTGCAATCTGTCGGGGCATAGGCGGAGATGACGAAAAGACATCGTTTCTCACGCCGATTTCTTCTCACTTTGATGGAACTTTCTAATCTAACAGCACATAACCGACTGTTAATGGGGATCCAATCGACTAGTGCTGCCTCAGCTCTAGCGCTTAGTGCGACACCAACGCCAGCAAAACCAGACGAAGATGCCACAGGGTCCCCGGATAAGCGCACGTAAAACAGGCTTTTCGAAGGGACAGATGGAGATCGAATTTGTAGTACTTCGCCAGAGTCTTGAATACGGGTCTCGGATAGACAACACACGTCGATATTAAGACTTTCCAAAGACATAGCCAGCCCTATCTGTTGTCCGACCTGCATAAATGTGCGAACGTTGAAGGCAGCCAGTTTGAATGATGCACGTGGTTTCAGAAAATCTGCTTCAGTCCTCGTATTCGGTGGTAACATACAATTTACAACCGGACAGTGACTCGAGAACGTTTAGATACAGTCGGAATTCCACCAAAGACGAGCCGCTGTATAAGTATAAAAGAAGGTGAATAATGTGGAAAATAATAACAATAATGATAATAATAACAATAATGACAATAATAGTAGTAATAATAATATTAGTATTAATAATGACAATAATTGTAGTGATCATAATTTGAATCAATTGATTGTTTTTCAAAGCGACAAAGGTAATTTCCATGGACATGGTGCAGTGGTACTGACAAGCCAAGCCTATTAGGAGCTGACGTTAAATATGCGGACGTAAAAAATTTGCCAAGACTATACAAATCATACTAACTAAATAAATCATAGGAATGTTGGGCTAAAGTGGCGACGGTGCTACAAGTTAAATCGGCTGATTTATTTTCACATTAAACAACTATACATAGTTAGCAGGATAATGTATTTTCCCAAGTACGATAATGTGGTGTTTACTCCTAAGGAAACTTTGCAGTACTGAATAAAACTATCCCTTAACCTTAGGGATCAGTTATTAGCTACATAATAACCTCTTGTTAACGATATTGCCTAAACTAAACATTAGGCCTTATTATGAATGTTGTTTAGGTAGAATACTTCACACTAAGTATGTCCATCACTCAATTCTGATCAGCAGTTTTGGATCCGAACTGTGTTACAGCTCCCTATGATAAAGTGAGCTTACGCAAAAACTATGCACAAAAATAAGAGATCAGACAGACTTTATGAATGAAATCTGGATATTTGTTACAAGACCGTTAGTATGGACAACTAGTAAAATTATTCACAGGATTAACCGTATTACATGCATTTCAAAATATAATGCATGACCATTATTCTAGAATTTGTGATTCCCCATAAATAAAAAGCAAAACCGATATTAAAGTGCTTTATAAAACCCTGAATACACTACAAAACACCCTAGTTCAAGCGCAAAACGAAACCCCCTCAGTTTTACAATTGAAAAAAATTAGAAAATAAACTGAGCCGAATAAAATGCAGGACATAAAAAACAATCTCATTTAAGATGATCAAAAAACCAACAAAGTAAGACCCTTTGACCATGCGGACCTTTCCATAACGTCAGAAGCTCAATAAGACCTTAACTATTGCCCTGAATGCCAAAATCGTGGGCCACAAACGTAAATTTGACAATATTAAAGCAAATATGGTAGTTGAAAAATCATAAAAAGACAATCCGCAGTGAAGTAGCTCCAAATGAAACGTAATCAAAACATGAGTTTGACGGACCGACAACGTAAATATGAACTTCATACGTACCCTTACAAATTTTTATTTATATCAGTTTTAACAGTCCCAACTTCACACCTCTCTCACTACTCACAAAACACTTTGATACCTTTTATTGGACCTCATATATGTATGATCTAATCTCCAGCTGAAAGTCTTCTATGGTAGTGTTTTATCCCCAAGGTCTACTGAGAGTGGCTGTGAGCGATATCTTTTTGAGTCTGAGACTTAATTATAATAGTTTTAAACCATTTGTATGCAATATGTATTAAATTCCTTGAAAGGAGGGAGATTAATTATTACCGATTTACACGCAAAACAAAGACTATTCAAACATACGTAAGTTGAACGCATACTAATTCAAAGGTTCATAAGTAATGCACGTTGTGCAAATAAATTAAGAGAAAAGAGAAAGTCCGTAATAAATGTAGGATTCGGTGGGAAGTCTACAACTTAGGATGGTGTGGAATTACCAGTAAATAATCAAAGTGCTTTCAAATGGAAACTTTTTATCCCAAATTCCCCCAAGTAATGTTTAAATGCAGGATATTCTAAGAAGAAAGTCAAACTACATCGCACAGAATTACAGACAAATTCTGTGATCATTCATTTACTGAAAACACCCTAAATCAACGCTACTTCCGCACTGATTATAAGAAAATACATTTAAAATAAGATGAGACTAACATGGTTCTCAATCTATGGAAGAAATGTATTATTGTTACTGAAGAAAAAACATAGAACCTTAGGTGGGTGCGGCACTGAATGACTCAGACGGTACTTGAGGACAAAAAGCCACAGTTTAGGACAAGACAAAAATTTATGAACGAATTAATCAGGTTTGCAACAACGACCCTCACGTTTTGGCGCAACGTCCATTCATTCAAATAGCTCTACAGCATTTTGGCATATTTTTTTGTATTATTTCGAGATGAGAGCACTAACCAGGATCTAAACCCTCACTTTAAAATTGCACTAAATTCTAGGTCCTCGAACTAATTTACAATTCCTTTTGAGCCATAATGAGGTAGTGAGTTTTTTCTAAATCCCTTCGACGTCACTCAGACGTCATCCATAAATTGATGTCTCACTACATGACCCATTTGTGATTACTATGATTAACAGTTTAGATATTACATTTCAACACTCCGCATCATTGTGGCCAGCTACCAAACATAGTAGAAAGTCTATAAACTTATCAAATAACTGTTGTTTTTTTCCTGATGTAAGGTAACAGCACATGATTTTTTGCGTGCTTCCCGTGATATATATTTATGGTGTCAACTGGATCCACCGACATACGGACTTTCGCTTTTACATTGAACTTGGCAATATGATTAAAATCAACTGAAAATCTGACTGAAAAGCCAGGACTTTGCGCATAACGAAAACATCGATACTAGTACTCCCCATACTCTGGAACCATTCAAGTAACCCCACGACCTCACTACCAAACAAAGTGAATAATTAAAACAATGACGCCCTTCAAAGTACGAGTGGCAAATGCATAGTAATCCAATTTTCGAAGAAAAACATACTACAGAAATTTTCATGTTTGTATTAGTTTTGATCGCAGGGATTATACCTTCTGACATTTAATATGCGTGAAACGAGCTGATATAGATTCAGATTCAGATTTGTGTAGTAAGGACAGAAGCCCTACGGCCTATGTTATTCCTTTTCTAGTATGCTTCTGTGAGTGTCCAGTCTTCTCTTGAAAGAGTCAATTGAAGGTGCGGACACCACTGCTTCAGGCAGCAGGTTCCAAGTATTGATGACTCGGTGTGAAAACCTGTATGCCACGGGTATTTTGTTCGTTCTTGGCTTTTCTACTCGCCTGCTATGTCCCCTGAGGTGTCCTGACCTAGTGGGAAGAAAGAGAGAGAATAAGTTAGGTCCGAAATCATTTCTCAGTATTCTGTACATCAATATTAGATCTCCCCTTAGTCTGCGATAGGACAGAGTAAAGAGGTTCAGTTTTTCAAATAGGGTTCTCAGCGCTTCATGTCGTTCACCAGTTGGCTGAGCTGTAACCCGTGAGCGAAATTTGTATTCTATGTTTATATTTTAGATATAATTAATAAGTTTGTTCTGCGGCAGTAAAGTTGTTGGAACGTTACAGAGAAATCTTGTGCCTGGTTGTACTGTGGAGTCACTAATAATTAATAATAGTAATCAAAACTCCTGAGCATCCCGGCAAGAGTAATTTGTCTGGAGCGAATCCTGAGAACGCATCTTATCATTCCACAACTTGACGTAATGTCTTGGGACTGAGTAGAGAAAGCTTTAATTTAGGATGAAAGTACTCCAAATTTAGGTAGCACGTGTTACCGGCTGGTTATATACTAATCCCTCTTTCAAAATTTTGAAGACTGTTTCTGTAGCATTTGCTTCTTAGAATGAGATAAAAATTTCCATCCGGTCAGAGGGCATAAGATGGCCACTATCACATATTCTGTACTTACTGTTCAGGTTGACAAAGGCCAAAAGTATACACCTGTAGTGACTTACTTTCATCACGAGAACACGAGCACCACCAATGTAACTGCATTTGCTTGGATACGTGGCAGAGCATCGGCAACACAGTTCAACTCGACTTTGATATGACGAAGGTCTGTCGTGAACTGGGAGATATGGTCCAAACGTCTACACTCTCGTGGTGAGTAGCGAACAGACTTGGTATGCAAAGCATACCTTAAGGGCTTATGGTCGGTGAATAAGATGAATTGACGTTCTTCTACTGCGTGCCGAAAATGTCTGATGGCACAGTAAGCTGCTAGCAGTTCGCGACCAAAAGCGCTATATCTCGTCTCCGTGGGAGTAAGGCGTCGTGAGAAAAACTAAAGGGGTTGCCAACTACCGGAGATGTTCTGTTACATAACGGCTCCTATAGCAAAATCAGATGCATCAATCGCTATACTAAGCGTGGCTGATGGATCGGGATGAGCAAGAAGTGTGACTTGCGCCAGAGCTGTTTTGATCACTGTAAATGCAGTACGCGCAGTATCGTTCATTTCTAACTTGCGTGGGTTGCCGCGAAGTAAGTCGGTTAGTAGTCGTAACCGTTCTGCCACGTGTGGGATAAAACGACGGTAGAAGTTAACCAAACCGAGAAATGCCTTCAGTTCCTTGAGTGAGGTTAGCACGTTGTACTCCTTTATTGCACGTACTTTATCCTCACAAGGTAAAATACCCTCGTGTTTAATGGTGTGACCCTGAAACATTATTTCCTACTTGCCCAATTCACACTTGTCTGAGTTGACTACTATAGTGTGAAATGTTGATAATGTTATCTACGTTCGATGATGCGATTAGCAGGTCATCAATATAGACGTGAACAAAATCTAAGTCTCGTACAATGCTCTCGATAAACCTTTGAGAAGTTTGAGCAGCATTCCGTAATCCAAAAAGCATACGTAGGAACTCAAACAAACCGAAAGGAGTCGTGACAGCAGTTTTTTCGATATCTTCAAGAGCGACTGGGGTCTGATCATATGTTCGTACCAGACCGATCTTAGAAAAAATAGTCGTGCCCTTGAGCGATGCCGCGACGTCGTGATTGTGGGAGATGGGGTAGTTATCAAAGCGCGGATTTACGTTTAAAGTTCGGTAGTCGCCTCATGATCTCCAACTGACCCCTTCCTTTTTGCCCACCAGATGAAGAGGAGAGGCCCATGGACTGTGAGAAGGACGAATAATAACAGTAGCCAGTAAATTGTCAAACTGACGTTTAGCGAAAGCTAATTTGTCCAGTGCCAGTCGGCGAGGTCGTGACGTGACTGGCGGTCCGCGGGTGACTACGTGGTGTACCACACGATTGGTCATCGATGGAGGCTCCTCGAGTGGTTCAGTTAGTATGGGGAATTTCTCGAATAGAGCGTGGAATTTATCGTCACGCGAGTAAAAAGTGCTGATTATTCGGTATGCCTTATTCTCCTCGCTTACCCGGCTGCTTGGTATGGAACGCATACGCACTACCGCCTACCACCCAGCTTCAAATGGTTTAGTCGAAAAATTTCACCGCCAAATTAAAAGTGCTCTTCGAGCACACGGAAACAACGACTAGTACGAAACCTCACCGCTCGTCCTCTTAGGCATCAGAACGAGCTTGAAGGCAGATATCCAATGTTCCGCCGCTGAACTTGTATACGGCACGGCATTGCGTCTGTCTGGGGAATTCTTCACACTACGGAGCAGACCTGATTTCGGTAAATCAGACTACGTACAACGCCTGTCTGCATTTATGCGAACGCTGCCCTCAGTGTCAACTGGAATACAACATCGACAGGTCACTCTCGTTCGAGAGTTATCTACCTGTTAACATGTTTTCATACGAGTAGATTCGGTCCGCAAACCTTTGCAACAACCTTGAGACGGCCCTTTTCACGTGATTGCCCTTCACGAAAAGACCATCAAGGTTGATCGACATGGCCGCGTCGAGATCGTCAGCATTAATCGTCTCAAACCAGCAAACGTCGATGACAGTGCCCTATCTGATAATCTGAGACTCAATGCTAGACCTAACAAACCTACTAGCAGGATCCTTAAATCTTCTTCAGGTCCCACACTGGACACATCCGAAACCTCGTCCTCACTTCCCGGTCAATAGCACGCGTCATCTGCACCATCTACGGACGAGACGACAGTCTCAAGTCCAGATCAGCAGACCACGCCGCCCTTGACTTCGGATGGGATTGCAAGCTCACGAGATACGAACGAGACTACCGTCTCACGTTCGATCGCCAAGTACGGTTGCTCGTACGCTTCCCTGACTAGCCGCACAGTCAACAACGGATACGGTGTAGAACTATTCCTATACTACATGCATGCTACACTCTTCTTTTTTTATTTTTCTTCTGAATCCTAAGCCCACGCCTCCGACCATTCCCGTTTGGTACCGTCGTCTTTAGTCAACTTTGGCGAAAGCTGGATTGGCCATCCACGCCCTTGTCAACGCACTCAGTCGATATTTTGGTTTTGAAAGTTTGGCATACGCTTGGTCACGAACTTGGTCGTCATGGTCGCTTCTCGTTCCTAGGCTCAACGTGGTTCCTTCCTACGTCTGCAGCGTTCCTGTTCCTCATCTCTACGAACGTAATCTCCGGATTCTGAATACAAGCCACAATGGTGTGGTATGCCAACTCGAGCAACAAATACAGCACACCGCCCCTGGTACTGTTCTCCGAAAAAGACCTTCGTTGGCAACTAGACGATCAACGATCGTTTTCCTGTTCCGCCAATTCTTCTGTCCTACAATCGCTCGTCAGCCGATCAGTCCCACGATTTAAACCGCTACTTATCGAAAGTGTAAATACTTTCTAGCGGGGGGCTCCTGTAGTGAACACGATTGATTTAATGAAAACAATTATTACTATCATAACCAATTGTACCTGTGCTTGTTTAATGTGCTTTTGTTTGACTGTGCTAATGACATACATATTGTGCTACCATTACTCTCCATTATTGTTTCGCGGCTCGTGACTCCGTTCGCACGTACTTTCTCCTGCTGATTTCGCTTGTACCTTTTCTTGGCACAATCTTAGTATTCGTCCGATACCACGACATCGCCAACGAATAAATCTGGTTACATTCAGTCTTCGTCTTCTGATTTATTTGGCACGTGTTCCTTTGTAGTGATGTTCACAGTCAATCTCGACTCGTTTCCACGCTATACACCTATGAGGAAGTGCATTTTAAGGACAACTTCTATCAGACCCATTTCGGCTCTTCAAATTTTTTTCCAATCTGACGACTAGAAACACCTCTATAACGCCTCAAGACTTGAGTTAATCTATAAAACTATGCGCTTTCGAAAGTTTGCACAATCATTAAGGAGCACCATCAATCATTTAAAAATCCTGTTAACATGACATCGATATGAAATTTGTCAGAAATTTGCTTTATTTCTTAGCCAGTTGTAACTGTTATGTAACTGACGCTTACATCGTTGCTATGCTCTGAAGAAATAACCTATAATATTCTTTCTTTCTCCGTAAGTTTACGTATTCTGCTATCTAGTCTGACCTCAGAGGCTTTCATTCGTCGGTTAGCATTGCCTATAATATCCATAATTATCAGATTAAACAAACTCAATATGCATAATACATTACTAAGTACTCTGCCTAAACACACTTAATCCCCGTTTATAAAGCAGTGCTTAGCCATTAAAGCACATCATCTTTCTCCAGTTACTGGTCAGCCGTTAAAGCAGTAGTAACAACAGGTAAACCTACACAACTCCCAAGTATGTACTGTGTTCAACATCAAATATAAATCTGTCGTTAAATTCCATATATAACACTTACGTTGACCTTTCTCTCCGATAGGGATAATAAAAAGCATTTGATACGTCACGTGATCTGTAGAGTTTAGACCATCGTATAAATTATGAACAGAAGTCTTGTTCTTTGTTTGTATAATAGCTGAAGGCTGAAACATGACAAAGAAACGTATATCTGCGC